CCGCCCGGCCCATGAGCGCCGGAGCGGGAAGGCGCGATCAAGCGGGGCCGAGTCTCGCGTTAGCGCGCTGCTTCGCTGGGCTGCTCCGGGGATCCACTGCTGGCCGGGCGGCGAGCAGACGGAGGGAGCGGCCCGCCGGAATGGCGCTGTCCTCCTGCCGCCTCGCAAGACTCCGCCTCCAGTCCCGCCCCCGCTGCCGTCACCGTCCCCGCCCCGCCCTCCGGCTCCGCCCCCGAGCGGTCCGGCCCGGGCCGCCCTAACCCTAGTTTGTGACCCGCCAAGTGGCAAGGGGTGGGGCGTGGCAGTCGTGTAGCCCCGCCCCTGCAAGGGTAGCTCCCAGGCTAGGCCACGCCTCCGCTGCTAGGCCACGCCCACGGCGTTGCCTGGATGCCTCCTGACCAGGTCCTGAAGCTGGTTACCTAGAGCATGCCTATGGCTCTACCTAAACGCGCCTTCCTGAGGCTAGCACCCAAGACTAATAAACCAGATCTCCTTATTGCTCAAGGTCTCCAAAACAAACAAGGTCCCTCCTACCTGTAACGTCCCCAAAGATCTCAGGGTCCTGAACCTCAATTTCTTCCTACACCACCCGTGCGGTTCTAGGAATTTCACGTGCAATGAACTTGCAGGAAGAGAAAAGTTAAATAAGCAAAAGACTGTCAGAAGTTCTCGGATGTACTTTGATACTTAAGTAACCATTATAAGTATTGACATCGTGTGCCTATTTCATGTATTGTAATATGTACCAGTCACTGCTAGGCTCTGGAGATATAAGGTTTATTTACTGAAGAGCTCTTAAATTAATAGACACTATAAAACAAACAGCATTCTGAAAGAATCACTGCCTAGATAATACATAATTCTAATATCCCTATTGCCAAATTAAACAAACTATGAGTGGAACGCTTTACTGTATCTGGAACTAACAACGAAAAATCTCACAATGAAAAAACAATCTGGAGTCGAAAAAATACCTTCAGTTGCACCAGCTAATCTAAGGATAAGTGAAGATGCAGTGAAGGGAAGGGCGGAATACTCAGCACATATTGTCATAAATACAATAATACAATGCACACACAAATCCAGGTATCATTTTTAATCCCATGACAAGGAAAACAAGTTTCGTGAAGGATCCATGAAATATCTGGTTTTATTTAATCATGGTAACTCATAAAGTCTTGGTAATAATACTTTTCAACCACATTTGATCTGTCTTTGGACTTTAATCATCTTTTATAATCCTGGGACTCCTTGTATTTATTTGTCATGTGAGTTTGACAAATTACAAATTTTACTTACTGTTGTCCTTCATTCTTACAAGAAAAATTGAAAACGTTGTGAAATAGTTGAAAGCAAACAATTTTCGGAATAAGGCAAGAGTTCCAAAGCATTAATTGTTTAAGAGAACATGAAAACTCAGAGAGTGATCTGTTAAGAAAGCCCACTAACACTCGTTTTTTTCTCATTTAGAGTCCAAAGTGCCTTTCCCCTTCATTCACAGGTGAGCTTCGTGTTTTTCCATAGTATAATTATTTTTAGAAAATCAGATTCTTCTGTTTGACATTGCAAAGGTTAATTGAGGTTGGGGATACAATTCAATAGCAAAGGGCTTGGAAGCAGAAAGTCCTATGTTTGATCTCCAGCATCACATATACCGAAAAAAATTAATTTAACATTTAAAAAAATCTAATACATTGGTTTTAAAAAAAATTGTGAAATACTAAACTTTAATTTCAGGAATTTGGCAATACAATGATTATCCATTCTAAAAATAAAAAAAAAAAAGACTCTAGTGCTTACTAGATAAATAAAAACGCTCAATGGGGTCAGTATGTTTGCCCACTTAGACTATTACACCATTCATTAATAGCCCTTTTTGTGTTGGTTTTTGTTTTTGTTTTCTGAGACAGGGTCCTCCTGTATCCCCAGCTGACCTGAAACTCACTATGTACACTAGGCTTGCCTCAATTTCACAAAGATCCACTTGCCTCTGATTCCCTAGTGATGGGATTATTGTCCTATTAGAATGAACAGAGGACAGAAATTTGAGAATTGAGTTAAATTAGCATAAAAACCCATTGCCAGGGCTGACTCACTTTCTAAATCTGTCCACGTCAGTTTTGTTCTTCATAAGTCTATTTTACTGGATATGGTAATATGTACTCTCAGAATATTTTAAAGAACTCCTAAATAGATACATTAATCAGCATTGTTGACATTTATGCATAAAAAGATGATATGGTAGCATTCTTATGAAATGAAAACACAGTTTTTTGTGGGTTTTTGTTTGTTTGTTTGTTTGTGTGTTGTCTTTTTGATACAGGGTCTCCCTGCTGTAGCCCCAGCTGTCCTGGAACTCACTGTGTAGACCAGGATGGCCTCGAACTCACAGAGATCTGCCTGCCTCTCCCTCCTGAGTGCTGGGATTAAAGGCATACGCCACCATGCCCGGTTGAAAACACAGTTTTTAATCATACTATGGTTTGAGTATCGCTCCCCCAAAACATGTAAACTAAAGTCCAAGGCAACAGCATTGGGAAATGGGGCCTAATGAGAGGTAACTAAATTATCAAAGATCTACCCTCATAAATTAATTAATAATGTCACCAGAAGAGTGAATTTGTTATTACAAGAATGATCCCTATAATAAGACAAGTTTGGAGGCATTTGTGCCCCCCTCTCTCTCTCTCTCTGTCTCTCTGTGTGTCACTCTCACAAACAGAGAGAGAGAGAGAGAGAGAGAGAGAGAGAGAGAGAGAGAGAGAGAACAATTTGCCATGGGATGTCATATCAGAGGCCCTCAGTAGATACATGCTGGGTCCTCCATTTTAGAATACTTAAACTCTAGGACCACAACCCAAAACATTGCTTTGTGGTATATAGTTCCCTGTCTCAGATATTCTATTCTATAATCATGAAATAGACTAAGGACAAACTCCAAATCTATTTTGCTATTTGGGAACAGAATATTTCTAACATTACTCAGTATTATATTTTATGTGTGCATGTGTGAACCAAGGAAACTGATCTTCTATCCCTGACTACCAATTTCTCTTTGTTAAAGAAGGTTTGAAATCCATTTCTGGACACTGAAAGCCTCCTATGTTGCCAAAATATATTTGTAAGACATTAATAAAAAAGAAAAACAGGTTATATTGTAGATTTGAAGTTTAAAGGACAAAAGTCTCAAATCTACTTCAAGAACACTGGAATTATTTTCCTCTGTTAGATATACTGATATTCTAGAATAAATTTATTTCTACCTAAAGGAAACAATAATCATCCCAAGAGGAGATTTCTATGTCACAATGACACTATTTAGAGACAGAACAGTTATGGATTAGAATATTAAAGAGCATTATCTGCCTAATATAGGCAAAATAAAGGTTTATTAAATCAAGTGGGCAATTAATAAAACTTATTCATGATTTTACATCAGATGTCTAGCTGTAACTTCATATGGCTACCCTCTTTATCTCTCTGAGTGCACAAGCCTAAAATGCCTGCATCTTCATCTAAGAACATCAGTCATATTGAATGGTCTGTCCTAAACAACCTCATTTTAACTTCATCTCCCCTTTATAGAATTTACCTCAATATATAGTTCTAAACCAAGGTATGGAGGTCTAGTACTTCAACAGATAAATCTTCTGGGAATACAATACAGTCCAAAATAGCCACCTTCTATACACTTCCTTTGCTCTTACAAGGCATACACTCATGCCTTCCTTTGTCTGCCCAACCCCACCATCTTTTCGTTGGTAAGAGATGCACTACCACATAAAAGGATAGCAACTCTACACTTTTCTACCAGTACTGACATTTCTACTGCAATTGTGGGAGAAAGTGTTCTTTAATTTAAAAATGAATATAACCTGGACCTGGCAAAGGGCTCAGTGGGTAAAGGCACTGTCTGCAAGCCTGCCTACCCACATGGTAGAAGGAGAGAACTGACTCCCTCCCACGTTGTTCTCTGACCACCACTCCACACATAAGCACAAACACACACACACACACAATAAATAAATAAAATGTAATTTTTAAAAGAAATAAATATAATGTGAACTATTGTTTTGCAAAGTATACTCAGAAAGCAAGGTCTCAATGATACAAATCTGCATTTTATCAATTGACAGCATGAAAGTGAATGTTTCTCAGCTGTCTCATTTGTTTTCCCTTACCTTAAATAACCCTCAAGTTGTTCAGTCACACTAAAGATGGCTCACAGGCCTGGTCCCTTTCTCATTTCCTTTTTTCCATTTATATTCAAAACGAAAAAAAAAAGAAATCTCTTCTATAGTGGCAGACACAATTTTCCTAAAATTAGCCTGTGATACATGGGCAGAGAAAATCACATAAGAAAGTCACTATTGCCAGTTAAAGGAGTCCTTTCTGCATGATAAATATGCATATATATATATATACATATATCTGTATGCACACACTTGGACACACAAATCTTGAAGAATGCCACAAAAAAATCTAGCTCTGTGATCTTGAGCAAGTTACCTAAGCCTGACTACTGTAAGATGCATTTCTAAGGCTTTGTTCCATTCTAAATCATGGAGGGTATGTGCCTGAGTGCCCATGCCTTCAGGTAACCTGATCAGAATGGATTTGGTTGATGAGAAGTGATACATTGGAGGGTGGAGGAAATGGACACGCTAAGCAGTTCTCTCTCCTCCATCTGCATCATGTGTCATCTCCCTAGACTGTATTT